ATTCTTGAGTCTCCAAATTTACCCATATGACATTCTAATATAAACATCTTCATATTCAACAATGCTGCAAAGTTTGTTGTCTCCCAAATAAATTTTACCTAAATCACCTTGAGTATAGTTCTTGAATGCTTCCTTGTTAGGACTTGCATGAAAAGAAGCACCTGAATCTATAACTCAAAATTCATAATTATCAAGAGATAAAATCAAAGAATCTTACGGAAACTCTTCTGTAGATATAGTTGTAGAGTGATTTTTGTCTTGACCTCCACCATAGTCCTTCTTTGGAACTGTATAGCCTTTCTTCAAGTGACTCTTCTTTCCACACTCCAACACAACTTCCCGTCTGCCTGAAGTAGATTTTTCTCTCTTTGATTTAAATATTCCTCTAATTGAATTTCTTTCTAATCCCCTTACATTTTGCTTCAACATTCATAGCAGAATTTGAAAATTCACCGTTTGCCCTCCTGCAAACCTCTTCATTAAACTCTAACCCCACATGTCCTCATAGTTTAGCTTTAAACTTCCTAAAGAGTTACTCACAGCAGTAACAAGCTCATTCCAACTTTCTAGCAATGAAATAAAAAACAGCAATTTTATCACCTCATCATCAAATTTGATGTCAACTGAACACAAAGGACTCATCACAGTGATCAAATTATTTAAGTATTCTGCCAATAAAGTGTTGGCCAATTTATAGGAAGTGGATGCATAATATGTGAAAACTTATGGCTGAAATCTGATTTCATCAAACTAGAAATTGGAAAATCAAAGAAAGAACTCACAAGAACATTTGTCTTCAAAATAGCAATGAAAGAAGGACAAGATACAATTGGATCTTCAATTAAAGAGGAAGCTCCAGCTCTCCTAAATCCCTAGCCATCAACTAGAACCCAATCAACCTAAGAACAAATTAAATTCAGCAAACAATATATCATAATCATGAAATCACACTATTGTTAGCCTTAAATAGGCTCCCCTAATTCCATCCCAAATTAGCTTATTTTCTCTAAATAATTTCTTCTCATATTTGAATTCAAATTAGATCACTTGTTCTAAATAATTCTCTCAATTATAATTAAAACTTACCTAAACAATTCCCTCTTAATTCCTCCTTTTCTCTAAATAATTCTTTCTTAGATTTTGAATTCAAATTAGATCTCCCCTAAATAATTCCCTCCCAATTATAATTAAATTTTTTCTAAACAATTCCACTTTGATTAAGAACCTTTCTAAATAGCTCCATCTTGATTAAGAAACTTCCTAATTCCCTCCCAATCAAATCAACAGCTTCATCTATACTCCCCACCCAAAGTGTCACATTGTCCTCAAGGTGGAAAAAAGGAAACTGTCATTGGGTCGAATGATCCCTACCTCCAACATCTCCTTAATTAATCTCTCAATTTGTTCGTTCCGAATTTGGGAATGACGGTACAGACAAACACTGATAGGCAACTCCTTCCTTCAAGATGATAGCATGCTCGCGTTCCTGCAACGGAGGAAACCTCGGAACTTCCTAGAACACCCATTGATACTTTTGTGGGGGTGGTTGAATCATATCTGGTGCTTATATCTTCTCCTCATCTTCTTTTTTTTCTTCCAAACTCTGCAACTCCACTAAGAATCTCAGTCATTTGCCCTTTCCCATCCTTGGAAGTGACTTGCATCTCCTCTTCCTCCCTCAATATTTTCACCTCCTGATATTCCCTTCTCCTTATCGAATTAGGGTTTCCTCCACTCCCTTGGTCGTCGGCAACTCCCCCCACTAGTGACGACGTCATTTTGGTTTGGAACTCAAAAATATTTCTCGTCATCTTCTCCATGATGACAAACTTCTCATCGATCTTCTCATGGATGGCTGAAATTTACTTTTTAAAAATTTGAAATCTTTTCTACAAATCAGATTTCAATTGTCTGATCTCCCTTCCAACACTTCTACCTAGGGCTACAAAAAGAATCAAGCGTTCGACGAGCTACACATTGCTCGGTTCGATTAAAACTCGTTCTTGGTCGTTTAATTAATTAAAAACAAATAAACTTGAATATTTTTTTTAAATACTCTATCCTAAAATAAACATGTTTGAACAATAATATGTTTGGCTCATTTATGTTCACAAACAAAATCATTTAAAACTCATAAACAAGCTCGATAAGAAGCTTTCATCTTATTTTATATCTTTAATATAATGAATTTGTTCATGAACAAGAAACATTTGTTCATGTTTGCTAGATTGTTTGTTAAAAATATTCATAAACAAATATAAGATAAATTATAATCGTTTGTTCATGAATGAGCTCATTTGGTAGCTCGAAAATACTAATTAGATATGTTCATGAATGGGGTCATTTGTTAACTCAAGAATACTCATTAGACATGTTCATGAACGTGCTTGTTTGATAGTTTAAAAAACATCGCTGAATATGTTCGCAAACATGCTCGATGTATTTTTTTGTTAGAAGGGGCTTATTTGTTGAGTTAATGAACATCTAGAAATGGGGGCTTATTTATAGCTCAATAAGGCTCGTTTGTTTAAAGCTCGATAAGCACGAACACAATTAATTTAAACGAACATAACTTGAACACAAACAAAAAAGCTCGAATTGAGCTCAAAACAAACTTAAACAAGCTGATAATAAACGAACTCAAACATAAACACACACATACTCAGCTCAACTCGGCTCAATTCGTTTACAGCCCTTTCTACCTTTCTTCTCGTCATAGGTACCCCAGATCTAGGCTCCAAATAGCAAAAGAAATAACCAAAAACAGCAAATTTGGTCTTCCAACGGCAAAAATGAAAAAGACGAAGGGAACAAATGCAACAAAAATCAACGAGGAAGACTTATATTTCAACCCGAGACATAGCTCTTATACAAATTTGATAGGAAGTAGATGCATAATTTATGAAAATCTATGGCTGAAATCTAATTTCAGCAAACCACAAATTGGAAAAAAAAAAAGAACTCACGAGAACATTTTTTTTATTCAAAATAGCTATGAAAGAAGGACAAGATACAATTGGATCTTCAATTGGAGAGGAAGCTCCGGTTCTCCCAAATCCCAAGCCACCAACTAGAACCCAATCAACTTAAGAAAAATCTAAATTCAGCAAACAAGACATCATAATCATAAAAGCACCATGTTGTTAGCCTTAAATAGGCTCCCCTAATTCACTCCAAAATCAACCCCCTTTCCCATAATAATTCTCTCTCATATTTAAATTCAAATCAAATCTTTTACCCTAAATAATTCCCTCCCAATTATAATTAAAATTTTCCTAAACAATTCCCTCTTAATTCCTCCTCCCTTTGTCTAAATAATTCGCTTAGATTTTTTAATTTAAATAAAATCTCTTGTCCTAAATAATTCTCTCCCAATTATAATTAAAATTTTCCTAAACAATTCCTCTTTGATTAAGAACCTTCCTAAACAGCTCTCTTGATTAGGAAACTATTTAATTCCCTCTTAATTAAATCGGCCAGTCAATCACCAACATCTTCATATTGAATCATTTCTTCATCAAGAACACTTTATTTGAAGCTGATGGCTTCTCATGCATCTTAGTTAGTGTGGCCACAAGATCAACCATAGTCTTCTCATTTATAATGTTGAATGCAATAGATGAGAAAAGTAAAAGTCATATCAAACCAAGTGCAGTCTGGTCAAGAACCTCCCACTCCTCCATAGTCATAAAGTCCAGCTTTTTAGTGATTCATTCCCACGATAAATACAACTTCTAATACGACAAATCTTCAATTTGTATCCTTCAGAATACAAAGTTTGAATGGTTGAACTTCTCAATCTTGTACCTTACTTCGTCTGTCATTACTCCCACTTAAACTGAACAACCTTGCTCTGATACTAACTGTTGGGATGGAAGTAAAATCATGCGACGAAACAAACATGAAAAATAAAAATGAAGCGAAAAGAAAAGGACACCATGATTTAAAATGGAAACCTTGAAATAAGGAAAACAACCACGGAGTCACACCACACTAGAAATCCACTATGAAAATGGGGAAAAATAAGTATAAATCTATCTTCCTCTCGCTCTCTCCTTGCTTCTCTTCTCTCTTACACCGTTCTTACACTCAAAATAAAAGAGAAATACTAGTTAATAACACTAAGGGGCACCACCCTTGAGAAAAAAAGAGAAAAAAAATGTTTAAACCGCCTCGTAGCATTGTGGCGCCAATTTGGAGCGCTGCAACGCTCGAGCCTCTGTCAACATGATGTTGCGGTGCTCAAACCCGCAGTACAATGGCACTCCACAGCGTTGCGGTGCCGAATCTAGAGCATTGCGACGCTCTGCTCTCTGTTGCTTCTCCCAACAAACTTTGCAACACCAGGACGCTGGGGTGCACAACGTTGGGGCGCTCAAGTGCACAACGTTAGGGCATCATACAAAAGGAAAATTTTTCGAGGCAACAGTATAACCCGATTGATTAACACAATCAAATTCCACATAGAACTAATAGAAGAAAGACTAATTTGTTATGAGGAAAACTCAAATAAAGACCTCCTTAGTGATGACAATACATATGATTTCAAGAATTGTTGAAACTATTGCAATTTTCTTTAAGAATTAAATTTAAATGAATAGGGAATTTTGAAAGAAAGAATTAGGAGTTAAACTTGATGATATATGATACTTTTATGTAATTTCTATATTTTATGTTATTTTGCTCTTGTAATATTTTGATTTTAATTATATTTTCGCACAATTGATCACTTGCCACTTTATGTCGTGTACAAATTTGTTTTTATATCTATGTCAATTTCTTACTTTATAGTTCAATAGAAAATTAATATGCCATCATTTAGCATATTATTTGTGTATTATATTGAAATTTGCTTTTTAACATTTCTTTCACTTTACGCAATTTTTGAATTTTGAGGCTTAACCCTCAAACCGCCTTATGAACAAAATGCCTCAATACAAAAAAAAAAAATCTTGCCAAGAGAATTTCATGCTAGAAGTAAAAAAATCAAGATTTGTAACCTGTCCTGATTATTGCAGTTGCTACATGGCTGCCAGGTCTTATTATCATTATCTGTATTTTCTTGTGACATAATACTTAAAGAGCTGAAACGATCTGCAATCAGAATTAAAAGACATTAGACTAAGCCTTTTAATGAAATTATGATGGTAGAAGTAATTAAAAATTTGAAGCTAATCATAATACCCTGTAAGAAGTTTGACTCCTCCAACCCATTTCTAAGGTAGGGTTGTTGAGTTAGTGGTTTTTGGCACAGCTGCAGCTCGAGTTGTCTTCTCATGAGATCAACTGCTGGTTCACAATCTTCAATCTGCTGCTTTTTATGAAACTGGGAATTTTCACAAGCTCTTTGCCCTAAAGAACAATGCAGAGTTATGAAACCATTTTTAAGGCCAATTAATACTCTATAATCATGAACATAAACAAAGTAAAACATGAAATATAAATCATTTTAGAACTCACTTGGACTAAGAGCATTATCCATTTCAAAAGAAGCAGATGAGGTATACATCTCATCATTCAACTTCTCAGCATATTTCCTGCAACAGATTTTGGTAATAAGAAAATTGATACCTGAATATATGATATTTGAGATTAAAGAAGATCAACATAGTAAAATGTCTATGCTCTTATATGATGAAGACTTGAAGGATCACTATAAAAAATTATAAGACTAAAATGGTTAAGTAAAATTGGAAATAATATACTGCAAAATGTATATATTACAGAATATATTGAAGGAGCACCAATTAAGTGCAATCATTAGATGACTAATATGCTTTGGGGATTTACAAAGGACAGCAGGAAATTTATAATGAAAAACGTAGATAGAAATCATGAGCGAGGTTTAGAAAGGAAAAGTAGGAGACTAATGAAAAATTGACAGCAAGTTTTGAAGGACTACACCGACTGGTACACAACAAGCAGGTTTAGAATGGAGAAGGTTTCAAAACTAGGACGTTATTTGTTGAGATTAGTCTAATGCTACTAGAAATTTATGCTATGATCACACTTGGTTTAAAAAGTACTAATAAATATCATTTTTTTGTTACATTTTCTCTCTAGATTATGGCTAATGTGATGAAAATCTTTATATTTATTCTCATCAACAGCATTGCATCGAGCATTAATCTGAGCTCAGCTTATTTTTTTTTCCTTTTCTTTGGTTGGTTTATTTTATTTTATTTATTATTTCTATAATTAAAGAACATGCTAGTGATGATGGCATTGAGGGAGAGATGTAATTTTATTTCTTAATATCATATTAGTTCATATGGTTTGGCATGGGTTCTGATTATTTCAGATGTGGCTGTTCTTAAGTTCAAAAGTAAGGTTATGATTGCTTGGTGCTTTGATATTTGATACGTCACCAAAAATCACCTTGATCACACTAATCTCGAGGCATATTTGAACTAAAAACTTTGAAAATTAAATTTGGGATAATCCAAATTCCGATCTCAACAACCTTACAGACAAAGTGAACATCTCAACAAGACGAACCCAATGAGACCAAAATCAGTCCAATCCGAGTTTAAATGTGCTCAAATCAAGGGCTTAAAGTATATTTAAAAGCTTCATAGCATTAATTAAATTACCAAATGATCTCCAAATTAGACATGTTTATAGTCGAATCGAGCAACTCGACGAGACAAATCCAACGAGCCTGAGATCACTCAATTCTGGCATCATTAAGATACTTAAATGCTTAACAAAAGCTCTATGATTGAGGGAAGCAATATGGATCATCTCATGGAGCACTTCGAATTTACTTTAGATCTTATCCATATTTATAGAGCATGTCACTCCCAAAAACATATAAATAGACCCTCATTCTTCACATGAGGGAGGAGGAAGAAAGGGAGAGCTCTCCAACTTTTTTTAGCTATCGCCTTCACTGACAACCACCAACTACTACCTCCAACAACCACCACCATCACTGGGGATCAATATAAAAAATCTCTACCATCTCCATAATATCGACTAGAGTTAACCCTATTGTTGGGTATAAACGTCCTTCTGTAGACACCTATAATCCCTATTGAGAAAATCAAACCTTGCTATTGTATATAAAAGTCTATCTGCGGACATCTATAATTCCTGTTTGAAAAATCAGAACATGTTGTTAGGCATTAATTGTCTTTCTACGGACACTTAATTTTTGTACTCTCCCTCTTCTTCAACGGAGAAGAAATGAGGATCTTTGCATCACTTACTACATAGTGTATTTTGCATCTAGGCAAGACCCTATGGTTTTTTCCCTTTTCGAGTTTTTCACGTAAAAAATTCTATGGTCCTACTACTTTCATCTATTCACGCTGAATCTTTGTACACTGTTAAGACTTGAAATACATTCTACCGACTCAAATTTTCTAGCACGCAGCATTATTATTTGTTTACAATTTAGTACCAGATTCCTGAAGAGGCTATGATTTTGCTGAAATTAAATAGCGTGTATGGGAAATATTGTTGAAGCAGTGGAATTTGGCTTAATCAATATACAGGATAGTGGAGTTTGAATTTATCTGTTTTTAGGAAGGGGCAACGTGATCTCACGTGCTCTTCTAGCATTAGATATGTCAAATATATTCACTAGCCCAGAGGATAGTAAGTGTAAAAATAGATGATCTAAAGCGTCTAAAAAAAGATATTTTATTGAAAATAACTTCCTCTTCCTCTTTCTAGTTTTAAATTTTATTTCTAAGCTCAATGTGCGATTTATTTAAGTACAGCATAAATATAACAATTAAACATTGAGGAACACATCTCCTTCTACTAGAATAAGGCTTGAATTTCTTATTTTGGTGGATTCTTTTCTTAACCTAATTTCATCTATATAATTGATTATTTCTTGCTAATGTTTCTATAAGCCTATAAATCTTTTAAGAAAAATAGAAAGAAAAAAATTCAATTTAAACAAACTATAGCACAAATTTCTACGAGTGTAATGAAGATGATATTGTACCATTTTATAAAAGAGAGAATAGAAATAGTGTTGATCTCCATCACCAAAAGATCAATGTTGAATTTGAAGTTCCAAATTATTTAGTGGAAAGCATACTATTAAAACCCCACTAATATTAATTTATTTAAAATAAAGCATACATTTTCATGCATATGCTTTGATGTGGTTTAAATACTAAGATGATATACATATATATATATATATATATATATATTAATTATGCGTTATATAGCTAGGTAAATAGATGAGAATTTTGTGGTATGTATGTAAATCCCCCATAAAAGAAACAAAGTGCTACACGTATTGATGTAAGAAAAATAAACCAAAGAACATACAAAATGTGAACAAATCATACAACCTTCAAATTTTGTAGAAAGTGACAGTTCTAAAATATAGGCAGCCAATAAAATATACAATACCTCTGAACTAATTTTGATTTTTCTATGTAAGGTTTGACAAGAACACGAGAACCACATATATTATGGGGATGTCCCATCTCTAAAATTTGCTTTACTGTCTGAGGATGATAGAAGCTCACAAAACCAAACATCCTCTTCTCTTGGTGTGGGATCCTCACATCATGGACAGGACCAAATTGACTATATCAAAACAAAATATTGAAGTAGATCAATACATGATATAATACAAAGAATCAAATTAACAATGTAAGGAAATCTTGCTGAAGTGACCTAAGAAATCACAACTGAGGAAGAAGAGACCAAAGGAGAAGAAACAATTACTTGAAGTAATTCTGAACATCAGCATCAGTAAATGTGCTTTCAGCAGGGAAAGTAAGATAAATCTGATGCGAGCTAGAATTTCCAGGGTCATTTCTTTCAGTCATAAATTCCATGTACTTAGAAACATCCTCATCTAATATCACCCAATACTGTCCATGAGGTCTAAAATTGCAATACAAACAATAAAACAAGTTCTTAAAACAACAAATTCAAGCTTTTTACTAAACATAGATTTATATAAAGGAAATAACTTATGTAGTACCTATCAAAAAGCCTAATGTTTGTTAATTGTGCAAGAAGCTTCATTAGGCTTAAGACAACTTTTCCATGTCGTCGGCTTTCGGTAAGATAACCCTCTGGCAGAAGTGGTTTCCCATACATCTCTTGATAAAATACAGGCAATAAGGATAGAGACACCGGAACACCCCTTCTTGTTCTCAACAGCTTTGTGATCTCCATCTCTAATTTCTCAATCAACCCTGGAGAGAACATATGATCTTCAATGGGGAACTCTTTCACGCTAATCCCAAACATTGTATTGAAGCAATCTGGATTGGCATGATCATGGAAAGACTTGCAGCTTTGTCCAAGCTTACAGTAACCTTTGTAAAAGTAATTGTCACTCGGAAGTGCCTGACTCCTTGATCCAAAACTAAAACCAGGAAAGCGAAAATTGACTGGTAGATCAACACCAATGGAATTTGACGGGTATAAGTGCTCCTCCATAGTCCAAGAATCATTATGAGGAAAATGATCCAAGTTTTGAAAAGGGGACTGATGATTTACAGTATGTTGATTAAGTACCGGTACTCGAATGCTTGGAGGAGTAGATAATGGAAGGGAAATAGCATGGCTATAGCATGGATGTAAATGATCTGGGAATTTGAACTTGGGAGATAACATGAAATATGACTTTGCCTCGGCTATGAGAGAATGTATCTTCTCCTCAGTTCCAGAGACGTATTCCATTATTTCTTCAATGCTATGCTGCAAAAGAAGATAGCCAAAGATTTTGATGGCATTCTCTGGTTCTATTTTCTGAATTCTTTGAAGTAAATCTTGTGTGTACTTTTCAATTTCCATTATTCACTCCTATGAAAATCGTCAATGGAAGAAAGACAAACATAGAATTAAAAACATAAAATAGAAAGCAAGTATCAAATAAAAAAAATTATAGTGCTGAACTACCCATAAATATTAGGATATCAAAAACACTGTGAAGAGGGGAATCATTTCAAAAGACAAAGAAGTTGATTTTTTTTTTAAGACAAAGAAGTTGATGAAACTAAAATTAGCAAGAGTTTATGCTATTTATTAGTATCATTAGGGAGGGAAAACCTTACAAAATATGATCTCATTTGCCTTCTAAAAAAGATACTTTTCATGCACAAACAAAAATCTAGCAAAAATTTTCAAAACAACACCAAGATACAGCCTTTCTGCAAGAAATCCCTAACAAAAAATAAAAAACAAAAAAAAAATCGAAACTTTCTAACAAAAAGCGAGTCCTGGAACAACTTTCTTGCGTAGAAGAAATCAACAAAATACAAAGAAGGTTAAAACTTGAAACGAAAACAAAACTTTACTCTATTCCTCTTCTCTATAACTACTCTCTTCTCCTTCCCGTTCAGCCGCAGCACCCTCGCACAACTCCCACTGTTCGAGTGAAGGCAGCAGAAGTGGAAATAAAAACCGGGCCTTTTGCATAATTGCACGGGAAAAAAAAATAAAAATACTAAAAATAAGCAGTAAAATACTTAAATCTCTATGACTATATCATGGCAATGACATTATTTCTAAATTTAATTCACGCGGGTACAAATAATAAAACAAGAAAGCATTGGGAATTTTCGAAAGAATAAAAATAGAAATCATTTAAATTTAAAAAAAAAACAAATAACGGGGAATCATGCCGCTAAGATTTTGACCGCTTGCTTCGGTTTCACTCAATTTTTAAGGAAAAATAGTAATAGACAAAAAGAAAATAGGAGAAATTATCCTAATGCGTACTTATATGCTTCTAATTTTTCATTAATTTTCCATAAGAAGATGGCAGATCTTTGTAAATTGGATACGTTGGAGTTCAAATAGTTTTAACTTTTGCAGTTAAAAATTATAATATAGACGGTATAAAAGCAAAGAAGCATGGTTAGGAAGAGTGAATGGGAAAGTATAATCGTAAATATTTTTATAAATATATTGTGAAAAATCTTTAAAAATAAAGTTAAATTCTCAAATTTCAAGGTGTCTTTTAGTTTAACTATTAGAGATTTATTAGAATTTAAAAACTTCAAAGTTAAACATACTCGCATAAGAGCATTTCTGAAATGATTGACCTACTGAAAAATTATATCATGAGATCATTAGATGAAAATGAATAATATATTAATGTGTAATAACTTGAAATAAGGGGGAGTTGAGCTGAATCAATTCAATCAACATGGTTCACATCATCTCCTAGCCTACTAAGGCAACACTATGTATTTAAATCCTAAATCGGGACTTAGGGCATCGCAAGCTTGAGAGAGAGGGCTGCAACAAGAAAAAGAGATGGATGAGGTCACGGTCCAGTCAACGAGCAATAAATCAAATAGTTTAAGTTCAGTGTAAACCTCTAGTGCAACGCAATGTATTAAGCATGGGAGAGAGGAGTGGCCATACTCGCAAGATGCACGGTTCGTTAGCTTTGCTGATTGGTGGCTTCATAAACCCATCAAACCGCTTGGGGAGGAGGTCATGTGAAGGAAGAGGGGGAGAACTGATGATATCTCATCATTTTTCTTCTTCACCCATTTGATTTAGATAAACTCTAACACCTTAAATTTGATTTATGCATTATGGTTTCTTCTAAATTAATATATGTTTGTTATTTCTATAATTAAGTATAATTTGTTAAGATCTTTTATATATATATATATATATATCCATAGGACCTATTTGGGACGATAGTAGTCTTTAGTATAGGTGGATGTGAAGCATTTGTAGGGAAATTAATTCTTTTGAAAGCTATTAATATTATAAATATGTCCTTAAAAATATAATATTCACAATATTTTGCTATTTTCTCTACCATACTTGTGATAGTTTAATAATGATTCCAAGTGGACAAAATGAAAATTCAAAATATTACAATAATTCTAATGATGAACATGCTTCACCACTTTATTAATAATATATATTATCCTTCAACATAAATTCTAGTACATCAATTTCTAAGGAGAGTATTATGATCACTCTTAACAATATTGATAAATTTAACCCTGTTATATATTCCCAAGATGTCTAAGAGTTTTTTTTTTTTTTTTTTATAAATTGACCATCGGACATGCTCTCCATTTTATAATGCTCTTAATGTCTTCTATCATTATTTTTCTATGATTTGATCATGAAATTTACATGAAACACCAATGATATTTAAAGTTTTTTGCTTTTACTTTCTCCTTTCAAAATTAAACAAATTGCAATACAATGTATAATCACCCGTGAAGAGAAGACGAGGTAGGTCTCACTAGTGAGGTGACAACAAGCTCAAACAATGCTAGTATTTTTCTTGTGGGTGACCATACTCTTTGTGTGCAAGGGCGAGAAGGGGCGAAGAAGGGTCATATAAATTTAAAAGTTGGAAAGGTATAGAAAAGAAGAAGATTTTTATGAATATGAATATACAAGCACACAATAATATCATAGTCCAATAATGACTAAGTTAAGAGTATGCTTTATTCTATGACCAAGCAAAGGATTGGTGATTTCTATTTATGATCATTAATTTTAATTTAATTAGTAATTATGAGTCTTAAAATGTTAAATTAGATAGAAAATAAACATAGTTTGGGGTCTAAAAAGTGACAATATGAAATTTAGAAATTTCTATGTGGGTGCTGCAGCGTCAGGGTTGGCAGCGCCATGGCATTGAGCTCTTAGATTTTTGGAAAAAAAAAGTTTGAACTTGCATCGCAGCATCTAGGAAACGCAACCGTGGTGTTTGGTTTTAGGTGTGCATATTCTAAGAGCATCTAGAAGATTCTTTGTGAGCATTGTGGTGATGAAAAAGCGAGTGATGTGGTGCTAGGTTAAAATAATGAAAATATTATATAAAAATATTTGAAACCATTTTCCATTTTTCCATTCTCTCAACCACCTTGCCGGAGAAGAGAAATGAAAAAGGGAGAGAGCGAAGAAGAAAGAGAAAGAGAGGGAGGAGTTTTGGAGGCCAAAGCTTGGAATATATATATATATTTAGGGTATATATATATATTAGTATTGAGGTTTTTACTAACTATTTAAACACTTTCTAAATGTTGGATTGAGTATCATTGCACTATATCTGCGTCTTGCATTACATGGTATCATATATATTCGGTTCTAAAAGGTGTATTCTATGTTATATTATAAGGGCTATAGATGTACTATTCTTGCCCTATCAATTTGATACAGATGTTAGAGGGATTCTTGCCCCACTTGTTGAAAGCGGGTACATGAGATTAAGTAACACTATAAATGTATTCTTCTAGCCCCATATGCCTGATGCAGATGCGGGAGAGATTTTAGCTCCACTTATTATATGCATGTGTATGAGGTAAAGGGAGGCATAAGTGAAAGTGGAGTTGTTAGTAGACATCAGGAAATGTGCATGATAGTTATTTCATTGCATTTTTGTTAATGAATTATGTACAAATGTTAGTCTAAAATGAAAGTTTGAAACTCTGCATGATTTCTGATATAATATATGTCAAGTGAAAGTAAACTTTTGAGAACACGCGTTTTGCAAAGCATGCAGATGGTTTGTAAGTAAGTGAAAATGTTGAGTATGTTCTACAAGTATCTTACTGGTTAACAATTTCCCTGTTGCTTCAATATTTATTTATTTTATTTCTATGTATTATAATTTCAGTCAAAATTTGAATATTGATAGCTGAATGAGTAAGGATAAAAAGTCTATTGAGCTACTAATGCTCGTTCTGTTCTTCTAATGTTTGAAGGAAGGGTAAAGGTCATGCTAAGTAGATTAGGCATAGAAGCAGACTTCTAAGTTCTTGTAGTTGAGGTATTGTTTGTTTTGTAATGAAGCCTTGAATTGTTTGTTGTATAGACTTCTAGAATATGAATTATTGTATTTATGTTTTGAAGAAAAAAAAATATGGTGATTATGCTTTTTATAGAGTAAAATATTAGTGGCTCTAGTTGTTATTATGAAATATTTGAGTTAGATAAGTATAAGTTTAGGTAAGCCAATCATTCCATTAGATCTTAGAGCATTATATAGCGGCTCTATGTGCAATGACCAATGCACACTATGTGAGGTATCGTCCTCTTTGGTCTTACACTTCATTGGATGACCTATATTGAATATCTTAATCATATACCATTCTTGTTAGCATTTTAGTTCATTGATAATGTCAGAATCAAATGATTTAAGGCTTGTTGGATTTATCTCATTGAGTCACTCGATTTAACTACAAACATGCAAGGTTTAGGGATTATTTGGTTATGAAGTTTTCTATTAGGCTTCAAGTACTTGATATGAGCTCATTTGGATTCAGAACATATCAATTTTTTGTGTTGTTGAGTTCGTCTCACCAAGAAATTTAGTTTGACATTAAGTTTGCTGAAATGAGAGTTCAAATGGTTTATGTTTCAGACGTTTTCAAAATAACTATGCATCAAGATTTGCACTTGATCAAGTTGATTTTTTTATTATGCATCAAAAGTGATTGGAGTAGAGTTCAAATAATAAACTATATCAAAATAAGGTTCTATAAAATATGTTTTGAATGAACTCATTTCTTGTGAATTCAATTTTTCTGTTTGCAAATATCATAATTCAGTTTACATATTTCACTATTGTTAAGAGTGAAATTAAAACTATAAAACAAAGCCTTATTAAGCTTGTATTGTCTTATAGGCAAATAATAGATTAAAGAGTTCCTGTAGCAACCAGAGTAGTCATCAATGAACCGTACTACACTTGAAAAGCTTTGATAGAGTGGACATCAGAGAAACCGTAGCTCTAATATTATTACGTGAGGAGTTCAAACACAGAGAACCGTTCGGTTTTGTGACTGTGAACAGTAAAAGCACAGTGATGAACAATAACTGCGCTTTTACTATTCACAATCACAAAAATCGAACGGTTCTCTAAGTATCAGCATAGGAATAATCCATGAGAAAAGGTAAGCTTGAAAACAGTGCAGCCACTTCCAGCCAAATAGTTTCAGGACAAAAGGAAGACAGCGATAAGCAATAGCTAAGGGGAAAAGAATGAGTGAAGTAACATCAAATCTTCTCTGTTTGACCTGAGCAAGAATGTACATAATTTTGATGTGCTTGATTGAGTTCAAATTGGGAAGCAATGCTGGTGAGGTATTACTTTTGGCTCTTAGTTATAGAGTTATATAGGGACATCATCCATAATTTACATCTTAAATTATATGATTAGGAGCTACATATATTATAATTTATGTCATAAAACACTTATATGTTTTACAGTGTCAAGAACGCATAACACCAAACAAGAAACCAGAAATATTTTATGAAGAATATTGCTATTCTTTTTTAATTCTGGTTGTCCAATTTGTTTTATGCAGAGGGAAAAAAATCCTTCATATAATTGTTCTCAATATATGTTAACCTTTAACGGAAATGCTATAAGAAAAAAAAAAAAAAAAAAAGGCCTTGGTGAGATCATTGTCATTAGTTTGGGTGTACAAAAGAAATATACAAGAAACTTCATGAAATGCCTACAATTGCAAGCTGGAAAGCAACACTATCCGTTAAGT